TGAACTGCTGGTTCACATGCTACTTTGTTGGAGGGTGTTCTACAATTTTATTTTTCCTTAAGTCTTGTGTTTTTAAAGGTGTTACTATCATAGATTTTAAATATGTTAAATATTTGGATTAAAAATCTTTACCCTTACCAGTGAAGAGTTAAGATTCTTGCTTGCGTATTTAATTTGTCCAGCATTAAGAGACGGGAATGTAGAAGAGAGATGTGGATGTAGGAGTTACTGCTGATATCTAAAGCTTTTCTTTTAGCCAGAAAGAGAAATTCTGTTTTGCACACCGATTCCACAGATCTCTTGTATGTTTAGACATCTGTTTATATGTGTTCCCTTGCAAACTTAGCACTATATCTCATTCTAAGCTTTTGAGGATAAGGACTCTATTATCATATATACTTTTACAGTAATTGCTACAGCAGGACTTTGGTGCTCAGCGGGGCTTCTGGACACTGCCTGTGTTGAAATGATAATAATCAAATTGATAACAGACTGTTGTTAGGATGTTTTGGAAGGGTTTCATTATGTACCTGTGAAATGCATTTTAATTGGTTTATGTTATAGCGTGATGTTTAATGCAAACGTTTGTTAAGTTTGGTGCGTGCAGGTGAGGATGATTCTCTGATAAAGCCCTTGAGAATTTTGTCCTTTGTTTTCTTGCAGACCTTTGGAACGTTCCAGTGAAGATGTAGATATAATATTCACACGACTGAAAGAAGTAAAAGCTTTTGAGAAATTTCATCCAAACCTTCTCCAGCAGATATGTCTCTGTGGATATTATGAAAATCTGGAAAAAGGAATCACATGTAAGAGAGCTTCATATAATAATCTATTTTATGTAGATAAAACCGGGGTTAGGCTGGGATTGTCTCTTGGAGATCAGTGAGAGAGTATAATCAGTGAAATGGCCATGAAAATGTTTACAGTCATAGTCATAGGGGAAAGCAGGACTAAAGTGCTGCTTGCTCTACAAATACAGCGTGTAGTGAATCTATGGTAACAAGGCACACGTTATTTGATTTAGGACTCTGCCACTGTTTTGTTGAAAGATTAGAAGCAAGTCATTGCATTTAAGCCTCATTCTTCCTCTGTAAATATATTATTGATCTCTTTTTGTAGTTGCTTTGTGTCAGGGGCAGAAGTGTATCACCTAGGCATATCATTAATAGCGTGTGGTTTGCAGTCACTCTGGATAACACAAGACAGATTTTCAGAGCTGCATACTGCTGTGGGGTGCAACAGCTCTATGCGTGCTCTGGCAGCCCATGTGCCAAATGAAAGTGGACAGCTGTGCTTGGTCTGTGAAACTGAGATGGAAATAAGTGGTGGTCCTGTGATGGGAATGTATCAGTTCCCAGAGCTGTGCCAGGGCAATAGCTGATGGGGACCTGTGGTGATGGTAGTCTCAGGTACCCCTCAGGTAAATCTGGCATGCTTTAGGCACGCAGCACTGGGGGTTGCTTAGAGTAATGGGAATTCTGATGCTCTGTAATCACACAGTTGGAATGCCTGAACATCAAAGTCCTGCAGTTGGTTCTCAGCCAGAACCCTCGCTGAAGTCAGTGGGAGCTGTGTCTGCATTGGAAGATTCTGAATTTCAAAGGGACATTGTTCAGAAAGTCTTTTTTGTAGTTCTTTGTTTGTTTGCTTGTTTTGTTTATTAACTAAAACAGCAGTAGAAGAGAAGCAAACTGGGGAGAAGAGTGAAGCAATTCTATGTGCTTTCATTGTTTCTGTAGTGTATGGACTAGTTTACTAGAATATGTGCTTTCCAGTGTCATTGGAAATACTATTGTAATAGTAAGTAGTCTGATACAGCAATTTCTGTAGTGCCAGCAGTGACTACAGTAATATGGGGGAAAATATTTGTTAATGTTGCTAAACTTAGAGAGATAGCTCTTATTTACAAGATTTCATCTTTCCAGTATTCCGTCAGGGTGATATTGGGACGAACTGGTACGCTGTTCTGACAGGATCACTGGATGTGAAGGTTTCCGATACAAGCAACCACCAGGTAAATAAAATTTTCATTGAAACGATCCAGTCAGTAGTATGAAGAAAGGGTATGACTTATGCTGAGGTAGATAATGACATATATTACACAGTTATTTAGTCTTATCACAAGCATATTTCTGAGTCTCCTTTAATCTCAGTTGTCCTTTGTCTATGAAGGCAAATCATGCCATTGATTTCAAAAAAACTGAAATGTAATGCTCTGAAAAGGGGTCTATATTTTAATATGGAAAAAGACTCCTCTGTCTTTTCTGATAGTGCCATATGAAGTTAAGATAAAGATCTAAGATTTGTTAATTCATTCCCTGGAAATATTTTAATTCAGTCCTTGTTCATGAAGTTCAAACCAAACCCACCAACAGCGCAGTCTGATAGCAGCATACTGCAGTCTCCATTGCAAGAATGGGAAGGTTTATAATAATAGCAGATTATTGGAACTGCTGCCATGTTAGACCAGAAGCCTGGAGGTAATACCTATTCAGTGTTAAGAAAAAGAAGAAGTAAAATTCCCCTCAAAATGCAAGCAATTTCTCAGTATCTTTGCACTCCTGACATTACAAAATCAGGAATTTAGACTAAATACAAAAAATAAAAAGGATGAGATGTCTCCTACCCATATTGTCTAAAGTCATGCTGACAAGTCGTGCACTTCCTGCTGTGAGCTGTCTTCTGGGAAGGCACCATGTCCCATTCCCTTCTTCCATGTTTGAGTTCCGGGATTGTCCCACCATGTAGCTCAGCATGGGGTTGAACCTCTGACGTGTGACCCACTGCACCTTCACATGAGTGGTATAGCTACTCAGGACATGAAGTATAACATTATCCCTTTTTCCCACCTTGATTGAATTTAGCATATGTGGGGGGGGTGGCGGTGGTTGTATGTTCTTTGCCCAAAGTTTGGCTGATTGGGGAAGGCTTCTTGCTCATAGAAGATTGGCATCACCAGTGAAATTGGGTCAGAATGCAAGTCAGGGGAGTGTGTGAGCACTGGATCTTTCTACTTCTTACGGTAAAATGATAGATACAAAAGGAACTTCTTTCATATAATTACTTTTAGCAACCTCCTCACCATACTAACTAGAGACCAATTGAGAGTATGATTAGTCTAACTTGAGCAATTGGCAGCATGATCTGGCTGTCATTGGTGTTTTCACAATTTGGAACAGAACTGGGCTCTTACGAGACCCTTTTCTGTGCAGGTCTAAAGCAATTGGGTTCGTTTTCCGGTGTTTGCCGAAAGATGGCACTACACTGTTGTTAGGGCCCAGTGCCCTTTACTGAATCAGAAAAAAATGTATCCACTAAAGTGTTCCGGATGTGGAAGTTAAATTAAGAATCTGTTGGAGTGTTGATTTGTTCCATTAGATGGAGGATGGAACCCTTCAGCCTTTTAAGAACTCTAATGTAAATATTTTTTCTGCTTACTCAGGTTCACCGCATTTTCCTGCCAGCAGGAAACTACAGAGCTACATTCATGTAGTTCTACATTCATGTACCTTCACTACATTCATGTAGTTCTAGTTTTATAAATTATATTCTGCAGTAATTTCTTAACCTGACAGGAACAATGAACTGAATTCTTACCACTGCATAATTGCCATAGGATACATCCTTGCTGCCAAGAGGACAGCAGCTCATGCATTTACCATTCCAGTGCTGGATAAGTTTGGTGACTGAGGACTCCTAAATAGTATTTGAGTCAAATATTTTCTCTGGTTTTGCTCCAGCTTAGTGTTCATACCATGTCTCTCCTTGATCTCCTGCTTCTTGTCTTGCCTTCAGCTCCTGGATGCCCTGTTCCAGTCTTGCTTGTACTTCCTTGTTAGCATGGTGCTAGTCATTCTTGAAGTACTTGCTAGCACTCCCTGCCTCCTGTGCTCACAAACAGTGTAGCTCCTTAGGCAGGCAGCCCTGACAGTCTCAGTTGCCAGCATTGTGCTACCAGCTCGGAATGGACGACCAGTGCTTAAGATGTAGGCATAGTCACCTACCCTTGGAACACATTTTTCACTAGCAGCACCCAGAAGCCAAAGCTTCCTTTGCAAAGTTGTAGTAATGATTAATTGCTCTGCTGTTACTGTTACACCATAAACGGCACTAATGCTCAGGAGAAACTTCCAGTGGAACAAAAGAGATACAGAAGTTTGCCTAAGTTTACAATTTAGAAGTTTGTAGTCTCATGTAAATGCCCAGAAGGACTATGCCATCTTTTCAGGGAAGAGACAATAACTTTGTATTTAGGTTCCTATTGCTTAAAAAGTCTTTAGACATGACTAATAATATTTTAATACTTAAGATGAGCAGGAGGTTGTACTAAATGACCTTCTGAGTTTTCTTGCAGCTTGAGTTATCCTATAATTATATGACAATGCCTACAGTGTTAATGTAAATATGGAAAATAAATATGGAAAATAAATTCTCTTGATTAAAAATGTAGTAGTCCCACTTTTACTAGTTGTTTGTCTTTCTACCTGGGAAACTTAAATTTCAGCAAGCCTGTGAATAAATGTGTTGTGTAGCAGCTACCATGTGCTAACTTTTTATGTAGTTATCTTTGGTGTTTGGTAGCTTTCTCCATTAAAAATACAGTAAGTTATTGCGCACTTGGTGCTTAAGAATGTCTTAATGGCCTTTGCTCCTACAGCAGCATGTGGTTACATGTCTCTCACTAAAAATTATATATAAATGCTCTACTGGATTGAGACTTCAGTGTAGCTAGTGAAGTATTCATTCATACATATTCTTGCTGCACGTTAGCATACTCCTGCAGACAGCTGTGATTTCTCACAGAAAATGTTAGTAATAGTGATTAGGACCAAGCTGAGAATTCATATAAACAGGAATATTAACATTATTTATTATTTGCTTTTATGATAAGAGGAAGCATTCCATGTACTGATTTAAAAGTTTTAATAAAGACAAACATACATGTTTAGGATCTCATAGATAAAGCCTCGCTTTCATCTTGGAAAAATCCTTTCTAGCTGCTTGCAAATCTGTATTGTGTCACAAGAGGGCAGTGTTAGAATACATAACAAAATGAGTACAGGCAATATTTAATACTAAAATAACTAGTTTGAAAATTATATTCAGCTGTTTACAATATACCTGTTTTAAAGAGTTTGACCAGAGCAGATTTCCCTGTTACTGTTAGTTCTGTTCCACTGAGGTGGTAAAATATGCTAGCTGCTGCTGATCATGGTCATTCATTTGCCATTGAAATGGGACAGTACAATTTACAATACAGAGTTCTGACAGGATTACCTATGCAGTACATCCCAAGTGGTGGCTGATTTGTTTTCTATACAAATTATTTATTAATTTTCTGGCTATCCAACAATCAAGAAGAGACTGAAGAGGACTTTTTTTTTTTTTAAGGTAAAAATGTTACACTATGAATCGCTGTGGTAAGTGTAATGAGCTGTTTTGGTTTTGCTTCAACTTTATAACAATAATCTGATAAATATTGTACTTAAAGATCACTTAGTAAGTGACTTAGTAAGTCCCTTTCAAAATAAACAGAAAATGCAGCCTGTTTAGAATCTATCAGAAAGACATCTTTAACCTCAGTTATGAACAGAGTCTGAACTTAATTTTTATTTGGCACTGTTACCTACCCAATGTTACAACTGAGGTATACAGTGATAAAAGTTCCTCTTACTTCCCAGTTTAGTGTTGTCTTTAAAATACTACTGACTGCCTTGTGCATGTTTAATTTTTGAACTGCATTTTGAAAATAAACGGGTTCTGAAGGATGACTATTGGTAATGTCTCAGAATATTAACGGGAATAAATGCATTATGGTGAAGGCATCAGTGTGTCATCTTTGCAAGATTCTGTAGCATTCTGTTTTACTGAGTTAGATTCAGAGCCTTTTACCCCAGATGATTAAGATTTGTATTCCTGTTTGATAAAATGGGAAGGAATGAAGACAAGAAAAACAAAGACCAAATAGCAATTTGATCTGCAGTTTTGCTGTAGTCTGCCAGCTGAATCACAGTGTGTGCTGAGGGCTGTTGCTAGTTTATCTTGCCTGTGTTTTGATGGATTTCTAAGCTGATCAGATTTTAAAAACAGACCGAACTGAACACAGGGCATTGATTTTACAAACAATTAGCCACTTTTAGAAAAGCTGTAAAGGAGGAGCTGTGGGTGCTTGGGTGGTACAGCAGGGTTGGTTGTAGGAAGGTGCAGAGGGCTGGGGATTGAAAGCCAAGTAGGTTAGTGGGGTTGCTGAGAAGAATGACTGTGATGAAAGAGGTTCAGATGTGCATGTAAGAAAGCAAAGAATTTCCCGGCTGTTTGAAACGGAGGGCAAAGGAGGTATGTGATAAGACAAAGTGGCAACAAGGAAAGGGATTTAAACAGGACAGTCCTTGCAATACTACTTTCTGCATGTAAACATCATTATGTATGCATGTAAATAGCCATTATGTATTTTGGAGTTAACCTATGTGAAGTCACAACATAGGTTTGTCCTGTAGTCTGTAGTGTAAATATGCCCAAGCTAGCTCTAAATTATTTTGTTTAAGCATGACAGCTGCTCTACCCATTGTAACACAGAGATTGGCTGGACTAATGTACTCAGCTAAGAAACAGGGCACATTGGCTCGTGCTGAGCTTCACAATATCGTGGTTATACTAGTTTTGGTTTTTAACTTAGCTTATTAAATTTAATATAGAAAAATAATTTAAATTCCATCTGCCAGGTAACCTAGCAAAAAGTGCAAGACATTGCAGGTAGCTTTTAAAGGATCAGATAGAAAGGTATAGAAATAATGCATGTTATTATAGTACAATTAATCTGGTCTGTAAATATTTTAATTAGGAACTAGAAGAGCAGTTGGTCACAGTCTTTCTAGAAGCATAATGCCTCCTTTAAGCAAATCATCTTATCTTGTGTAAAGAGGATGGCCTAACATATATTGGCAAATTGCAATTCTAGTGTGGGAAGATATTTCTACGTTATCTTCAAAAGTAGTTTGATAAGGATTTCCTATCTGAATGGCTGAAACATACTCCAGTGGAGGTAATGGACCGGGAAAATCACTTCATAGAGCAGATAGTTTACTTTCATGTGAATCCTTTGGTTTTGCTGTTTTAAAAGGAAATTTTTGCTGAGGGCAAACTGGACTCTGTTGAAGTAATAACAAGCAGACTTGTTTCAAAATGCCAGCTTTTGCAGATCTCCAATTAAACATGGAGATGGTATGGAGTTCTGGAGGGACACAGGTGCATAGATGAGTTGAAGGTGCAAGGTGTGGCAAAATGATGAAATTATAAACAAACTACCTATTTCAACTCCCTTATAAACAAAAAATATGGAATGAACTAAAATTTCAAAGAAAAGTGTCCAGTCTCTTTCAACCTAGCACTCATAATTTTTTACCTATTTTCTTCATTTTTCTTTCAGACACCATGATTTTGTTTGCTACACAGTACAAAAATTCTGTTTGTGAGTTTGGAAAATAGAAAGTGTCACAAGTCAAGGAGGAGCATGCAGGGATGTGCCTTGTGATGGTGGGGGAGAGAATAAGGCAGTGCTTTGTTTTTGATTCTCATCCATTCCACAGAACGTTCTTACAGAGTCAATAATATTTTAGATTGATGGGGGGGAGGTTTAACAACTCTTTCACTGCATGTGTTTCACCTGCCAGTGAGAGTCAGTGAAACTGAATACACAAACAGCCGCTGATTTGAGCACTGCTATTTTATAGTGTGTTCAGAGGACAGATAGCAATGGAAACAATCTCATCTTTTTAAGTCTTTAATACTGCCTTTTAAATAGCTGTGTGAATTTTAGCTGGTTAGCAGCAGCTGGAACCCCCTGCTGCTTCTGGGATTGCAGAGGGGAACAGCAGACTGAGTTTTGAGCTGCCAGCAATCCTCCTGAAGGCTACACTGAACAGCAGGAGATTTTTGAGTGTAAGTTTAACAGGTGTAATAGGAAATGCACACCTGATTCCCCAGGAGGCTGGAGATGTATAAACAAGGGGAAGAGAGAAAATGGGGCTCTGAAGTCTTGAAGAAGATAGATGGGCTTTCTCCCTAGCTGGCTGTGAAGCTGCATCTCTGTGGAGAGCAATGATGGCTAGGGAAAAAACCTGAAATAACTTTCACTTGGTAGAAGCCTGGACTTCTCTTTAGTGAGTGTAGATGGGACCATTCCAGATCTTTGATTTAACACCCCACAATGTTAATTTACTTGTCAGGCTGAACAGCTGTCTCATCAGAAGTTATCTTAGAAAATGGTTCCTTAACCAACACCTTTCCTTTTCTATTCTTCTCTATTCTGTCTTTAAAGATACATTCTTTAGGACTGTAAAGAATCAAAAAAAGTTAAGTGTTTCAAGGGAGGTTTTGTTTTTTTTTTTTTTAAGAGGGAGGGAAAAGAGTGAGAAAGAAGTTGGAAGATGTAAATCTTGCTTGTGATCCACTTGATGGAAAAGTTTCTTTTTCTGCCAGGCTATTTGGTTATTCTGCCCTAAAGAGAGATCTTTTATCTGAACTTTCTAAATAAAGTTGACAATAAAGTACTGGAGAGCTGGAGATCAAATTGTGAGTGAGCAGTAGGCATGTTTTCTTGTAGCTCCTTTGAATGCAATTGTGAGTATGGTAGTGCACATATAGTGTGTCAGCTCTGAAAGGTAAGCACGTTAAGGCAGAACTTCAGTGTACAGCCTGTATTATAGACTGTTTGTAGAGACTTCTATTTAGCTGCCTAGATGCTTACTCCCAAATATTCTTTCTTTTAAACAGTGCCTGTTCATATTTACCTTCCTTGAAAATTTATTTCTGCCAGTTGGTAAATTCTTCCTAGATCTTTTCTAAGACATAATTGATTTTGTTTTCCTGAACACATAATTTTCTATGGTAATATCTGTGCAAAAGCAATTTGCTATGGTTCAGGGAACTGGACTATTATGGGCATTTGTCTTTGTAATGCAATTATAAAGCTACTAACTTGATCTTAATAACATTTGTCTATTACCACTTATTAGATGCACAAAAGGAAACACAATGCAATTTTAAACACAGAAAATGATGCTGAAATGTGCTTATGCATCTCTCCTGGATTATCAGCCACAAGGATGTAGTGGATGGGATGACAAAATTTTCTGCTTTTATTTTTGTGGACATTTCATGAATCCTACACGTTAGAATTAAACTGTACTTCTAATGTTGTAGCAAGTAAAATTAGCATGTGTTTTTATATGTTTATGTGTATTTGTCTGTGTTCATGTATGATTTCCTTAGTAAAGTGCAGTTTGTATCAGTTTAAATTTTTAATTCTGCTGCTATTTTTTTTTAATTACTCAAAAGAGTCAGTTAAGGCCCAGCTTAGAAGGAGACATATCTAAGTGTTGAGCTTCAAGCCTGTGCTCAGGAACATAGCAAATTATAATCCTAAAATAGAACATGTATCTAAAGATCTTGATTCAGCAAGTTATTTAATTTCAAGTAGTCTAATTCTTTGTCTGCAGTAGCTCATAATTTATACTGGTACTATTAGAGAGGAGTTCCTGGCTGAGAGGGATCGATGTAGACATCTTTCCATCACATGAATGGCATGTGCTCACATACACTCGTTTGAAGTGGACTTTACTGCATGTTTGGGACCATCCTGAATACCCTATTCTAGGTTGTTTTGGACTTTTAATAGTTTTCTTGAATTCCATGGCTTAAGTGAAAAATAATTTATTTTAAAATTTTTTTTAGTCTGGTGCTTAATTGGCAGGCATCCATTAACAACTGAGAGATTTACTGGCATTTTCAACAGGAAGGCCAAGAGCTGATTGAACTATATGACTGCATTCCTCACAGACCTTGTACAATAGAGAAATGCATTTTAAACACAAGAGGATATTGTAATTGAAAGTTATATTTACTGGGAACTCATAACAGTCAAATGTTCTTTCTGATGAGGGTAGCCCATGTAGGGCAGAAATTTATATTCCAACATTGCATTTCTGATGCTAGTTATCTTCTGATCACCTCTGACATTTCTAAAGGCCGTCATCATCACAACAGTCTTTAGAGGTAGATGAACAGAGGTCATAACTTTCTTCCAAAGGTGGAGTTAACTCTTGTGTTCTCTGCTTTGCAGACAGAGATGTCTAATTCAACTGATGGTCACAGAAAACAGAAGTCCTACTTGATTCCACATTGAGGCTTCATGTGTTGTTAAGCAGCATACTGATTCTTTTTGTTGGCGCTTTTAATTAATTTTCTTTTAAAGCAAATTGCTGAAAAATCTTAAAGCAGTGCTATTAGCAAATGTGACATAAAGACTCAAAACATCCTGGAATATTTAATATTTAATATGTGTCCTTTTATTTTTAATTCAAAGGATGCTGTGACAATATGCACTCTGGGAATAGGAACTGCTTTTGGAGAGTCCATTCTGGATAACACTCCTCGCCATGCTACCATCGTTACCAGAGAATATAGCGAGCTCCTTCGAATTGAGCAGAAGGACTTTAAAGCACTTTGGGAGGTAAATTCAGATTTATTTGCAGTTTGTGCAGAAAAAAGTGATTTGACATTTTAAGTGTTTGTAATTAAATATAAGCACATTTATACCATAAGCAAAGTAATAATTCTTTTAAATTAGTTTGGACAAAAAGAAAAACAGTTTAACTTCTTTTTAGTGCTTCATATTCTGCGTGATTGCATAGTTCTCTATTTCTTCTAATGAAATAACTTAGGTGAAATTTCTGGTGGAATTCATTTGTATACTGTGGGTGTTACCTTCATAGCCTTAAACTTGCTTTTATTGCTAGCATTTGTGAGGAGAGTCTATCCTTAATATACTCTGATATTTTAATCTCCTTTACTCCCTGTCTCATGACCAGCTGTGAGGGGTTTAGAATTTGCAGATGGATTGAGATAATTCAGAAATTAAGTTCCTGATTACATGTGAACACCCTTAAAACTTTCCTTTGTGGGGAAGGTGCTGCTGAGGTTCTTCATTCTATAATCTGTGTGTATTTTGGTATCCATGCTGAGAAGACTTCATTAACATGTTACTGTGATGAGTTACTGAACTTCAACCAGTTTGCATTTTTGCAAGCGTTACACTTGATCTGAAAAGTGTTCTGGGAATTGAGAGGCATCCTGTTGGCCTGGCCTGCACTATTGCCAATTTGTACTGCCAGCTTGTTTCAAATGGTGACTGTACAAATTTAGGTGTTGTGTAGAGCTGTCAGATGGTGTGATGGTGTCCTAAAGTTGCAGATCTAGGGACACTAACTATTTAAGAAATAGATGCTGATTGTAGCATTCTAGTTCAGCTTATCTCTTAAGTGCAGATAGATGGGGGGTTTTTTTGCTTTCTCTTTTCCTGAGAAAGAGCAGTATTATACTCTAAATAATTATCCTAAAGTAATACTAAAGTAATGGTGTCAGAGAGAAAATAAAATCTACAACTAGCTACACTGACTGAGGAAACAGCATTAATATAATCTGTCTGCAAATATGTTGTCTTGAGCAAAGTTAATGGTGCAGCATGACCAAGACATGAAAGACCAATGTGTGAATGAAATGTGCTGCCATTGAATGCTCCAACAGTATCAGATTTCATTCTTTGAGTTGCATAGGCATAACTTGTACTGGTTTTTGGCACTGTCTACAGCTAAAATAAAATATTCATAAAGTCTCAGCAAATCTGAATTGCACAAATTCAATATTTTTCTGCAGATCACACTTTTTCTCTACAGGAGCTTCATTGTAGCTTTAGACCCTGGCATTAAAAGATTAAATATGCCAATGGTCTCATCTGTATTAATATGTACTACACTTGCAGAAATTTTTAATGTAGGTAGTGCTTTACAAGCTCGTGGTGGAGGAGAATAAATCCAGTTGTAGGTTTCTCAAGTAACATTTTTTTAATTCACTTTTTATTGGTATAAGCAGAAATTATTCTGCTATGTATATGATTTCCTGCTAAATATTCAGAGATTGTTGGTTTCTTATCAGAAATATTAGGATAGTGGAGGTTCTTAAAAATTTCAAACTTTAAATTATATTTAAAGTTGGTTTAAAACAAAAATCCTGATGTCATTTGCTGTTTAATCACTAATGCAATGTTGTTTCTAACAATTTTGCTGATTTTTATGAGGTTTTTTTAATTAAAAGCTCGTGTGTGTTGAAAGCATTAGGAGCTATCATAGGGAGCCTTAGCACACGTCTTGTATATTGCAGATTTGTTGAAATCATGCAGAAAAGCACATTACAGATGCTGCAGGTGTCAGTCACAGACCACAGTTTAGCTTTGTGGTGCTTCTTTGCCTTTTGTGCGGTTTTACAGTGAACTTTTCATGTATTTTGGTGTTCTTTCTTTCAAGGAGGCTATTCCTGTGTTCTTGGTGAGTGGAACATTATGCCATGAAGTATAACTTTGCTGGTTATTCTGAGGTAGAATGAAGTTGTTAATTTTTTTCAAGGCAATAGTTGTTTTCTTGCAATCTACTAATCCCAAAGCCTCCATAAACTGCAGCTAGGGTTTGATAAACAGAAAATGTTCAAAACAGAAAGAAAATTATTTAAGAAAATACCCCCCAAAGTTACTAGCAATAGCAGCAGTAGTGTATTATTATTAATGTTAGTGTTATCTGAAGAAAAGTAAATACTTTTCTTAAGGGAAACTTTTTGTTATGTTATGGACGGTGTGTTGTTCTGTGTACCTTATCCTAAGATTCATATATCTTTGCTCTGACAAAGCTCAGAAAGGGAAATGGTTATTGATACAGAGACATTCTTAAATTTGTTTTTAATGAAAGCCACAAAAAGTCAAGAATGGGTCACAAATATTTATTATCAGAGGTACCATAGGAAAAATGGGAGAAGGCAACAGTGTCAGTGTCACTACAATGCAGATATGGTAAAAACTAAAATCTATTGCATACAAATTTCAACTCTCCAGATAATGAGAAGTTTATTCCAGAAAGTAGTTCTGTATTAAAAAAAAAAAAAGTTGAATAATTAAAAAATAATATAATAGTGTAGTTTAAGAACAACCTAAATAAACTGTAGGGTTGGAATTCTTAAAATGGTTACTGCTTTTATGAATCTAGGATTTTTGTGATTAATAATAGAAGTGCAAAATACACGTTGTGTATATGATTAAGTTTTTTGTTTGGTTGTTCCCCGCCCCCC